AAATAGTCGGACGGACTGCTCACTGGGCGTTTCAGCACCTTCCGATACGGTGTGCTCTAAGTTTGCTCAGATAAATACCACCCCCAAGCCACACACAATGCGTATCGGAGAGATGAAGAGTAACAGCTCTATGGTCTATCATCTCTCCGTGTCGGAGACTCCACGACAGACGGCGGCGTGGGCGAGGCGCGGGGTCATCATGATGGAACTTCAAGTTTTATGACGGACACGCATACAATCAGCGAGACACACATGCGTGCGTGCCTCGGTCTCCAGCAGCTTCAAAATTCAGATAGACCTACATAGCTACTGTATCAGATGCAATTTTTGAAGTTGATGTCCTGGATTCAATCGTTCGAATTTGGGATATACTGCCCTTAGTTGTTTATCACCATGAACTTGGCCTCAAGCACACCGGCGGAAATGAAGACATGAGGCTCTGAGACACCCTACGTTGGCTCGTCGTGTTCAATATGTCGAACGTTCAAACGTTTACCTCTTGAAACTCGGGCCCTACAAATCTACCGCCGAGACATCCGTCCAACGCCCTGTGTCGACACCGTAAATTATCGCCGGGCGTCCCGCAGAGCGCACCCGCAGAAGCAGAAGCAGAGAGCGGACAGCGGAGTCCGGAGAAGCAACGTAACGTGCCCACGCTTGCCCGAACATATTATGTACATTATCCAACCTTTCATCGTAATACTATGTACGCTACACACGTGTGACCAGGACATCCTGCCGCCGAAAAATCGTGATTATGGCAAGGTATATAACGTATAGTAACAGGCGTCGAGGGGCATAGACACAGCTACCTACAAAAAGAAAGGTAAACAGAAATGGATCGCGAAACCCCGAACACCCGAGCCAGAGAGGAATAGTATGGATGGAGAATAACTAAGGGCGAACAATGAGCGACAGCGAAAATAAATCTACCAAGTATGTACATTAGGAATGCAGGAGAACAGACTACCGGGGCGGGCGATCAATGCAAGGCAGCCGGGATGATATGATGATGTGCAAACCAGAGTCAGGATAAGACAGGTAGATAGTGCATGCATGTTATAACAAACTTCCGCATTTTCCTAGGCACCGCTCGTCAATGTGAAACGTAAGGCGTAGTCGCGTGGCGCTCTACAACAATCCACACTCCCGCAGGTGGATCTGCAAGAGGATGTCCTGAATAGCACTCAAAACGACTGCGATGCCGAACATCGAGTAAGCAAATCAACGGGAGTCAAATGTCAGCGCCGGATAGCATGCGAAAAAGGTGACATCACGCACACTTGATCTGTTGTGTGTCGGTGGCGCAAGTATAGTGCGCGTATATCTGTTTCGTTGCCGCACTCTGATTGAGAGAGACAAACCGGTGCAGGAGATAATCACACGCCGAATCATAGCTGTCACCGCCATTATAATCTGGGAAGTACTCCGAGAGCGGTGAGCGAGGCAGCTTCTCAGCGAATAAATCTATCTTGTTCAAGAAGAGGATCTACGAGCGACGGGGAAAAGAGAAGGTAAGACAATGCAAGTATGAAGACAAATCGTCAACATACGATGGACGTCTTGACAAACCATCTTGAATTGCAAATCGAGTCGAATAGTGTGAGAGCTTCTTGCATACGATTCTGGATAACATCAGACAGGAGCTCCGATCACGGAATGGAGCGTCACTCACGACACTCTCGTCCTCGTATAGCATCTGGTCATACTCGCTCAAGCTGACCAAGAAAACAAGCGCCGTCACGTTCTCGAAACAATGGATCCACTTCTTTCGTTCTGACCGCTGACCACCGACATCAAAGAGCTTGTACGTTAGTTCGCCAACTTTGAAGGTGGTCTCAGTGATACCAGTGGTCTTCACGCGAGACCGTAGGATATCCTGGTCGGTCGGAAGATATCCTGGTGCTGACATCCGGTCGATGGAGTTGAAGTAGTACACGGCCGAGTCGTTGAGCTGGAACTCCCGTGAACGAGAGACAGCCTCCTTCACACCAGGATCGTTCCAGAGTCCGCGGACAGAGTCGATAATATCCGCTGCGAGTATATCACCCTCGATCTGCACAGGCAGTGAAAGGATCACAGATTTTCGTGCGTCGTTTTGAGGGTTGAGCTGGATATCCAGTACCGGTAGTGCCTCTAGAATAGCACTACATCGGATGCGTCAGGACGGTTGTAGGTAGCAGGGGGGGGAACCTAGACAACGTACCGCATGGACTGGATGGTGTTGGAAAATATTATCTCCTTGTACGAATCCCGCTCTTGTTCATTATAGCCACCGTGGTGAATAAGCTTCATCTGCTTGAGCACCGTCGACTGTTCCGCGAAATGAGCACGCAGGATGATGACGAAGATAGTAAATACAAGATACCTTGCCCGACTCTCCAGCTCCCAGCAGCAGCATTTTGATTTCATTCTTTGCCATCATGCGATCCCGCTTGAGCTGGCTCTCGATCTCGTCATTTCCTAGAAGAGGGGCGATCGTCGGTCATGAAACCGCGCAGCATAGCGAGGAGAAAGCAAACACTGACGCGCTTTTGCCTCCTCATCAACGGGGGACGATTGCATGCAACCCATAGTGAGGACTGGAAATGATGTGGAGAGAGGGGGGGCGAGGGCTCGGCTGAGAGAAAAGAGCGATTAGAAAGAGAGAGAAAGGGAAGAGGTCTCGAGGCAGGGAGAGGGAGGAATGGCGACCGACAGACTTGAAACGAGCGTGATGTGTGAAAAGTCGCTCCGCTTGATACGACCGGAAATGTCCATTACGCGACCCGCACAAACAGCCCATAACAATATGCATGCGAGACGCCCAGGTGGCGCATTTGGCGCGCCTAGGCCGCCCCGCGCTGTGGAGCCCATCCGTCCTGCTCGTCCCGACGCCGGCGCCGCCACACAGCCGCGGGGGCGG